GACCGCCGCGTCTCGGAGAGCCGGCGCCACTGTGCCGCGCGCGCCCATGGGCAACGCCACCAACCGCACCGTCACCAGCGCCAGGACCGTCGTGAGCGCCAAGCCGGGCCTCACGGGCGCCGGAAAGCCCGTCAGCAGCGTCCGGCGGACCGTATCGAGCGCCTCGTCGGCCAACGGCATTGACGTCGAGCCGTCGCGGATGGACGCCATGGAGTCGCGCCTCTCGTCGATGCAGGAGCTCTTTGACCTCGAGCGGCAAAAGACCGAGGAAAAGTGGAACAAGGAGCGGACAGAGAGGCTCGCTCAGGAGGAAAAGGTCAGGCAGCTCGAAGAAGACCTCCTCGAGCAGAGGAAGCTCGCCAGCAGCAGGCAGGAGGAGATCAAGAGGAGGAGGACGCTGGCCGACGACGAGCTGCTCCAGCTCAACGCCAAGCACGCAAGAGAAAAGCGGATGCTCGAAGAGGAGCTCGACCGCGAACGCCAGACGGTCTCGGCGCTCAAGGTGAGCGGGCCGCCGCCGCCGTCCTTAGCACCGTGTCCGATCTCGACGAGCTGACCGCGTGTCTCTCTCCCCCTTGCACTCGCCCTCGCCGACCCGCGCCTCCCGCAGTCGACGCTGTCGCAGCAATCCACGTCGCACCTGACGATGGAGTCGACCAACTCGGCGCTGCGCGCCCAGGTGACGGTGCTGCAGACCGAGGTCGAGCAGCTCAAGGCCAAAATCGCCTCGATGGAGGGCGACGTCCAGGCGGCCAAGGAGTACAGCCTGCACCTCGAAACCGAGCTGCGCGAGGCCGAGTCGCTCCGGCGCAAGCTGCACAACGAGGTGCAGGAGCTGCGCGGCAACATCCGCGTCTTTGCGCGCGTGCGGCCCACGACCCAGAACGACGCCAACAACGGCGCCGAGGCGCTCGCCACCATCCGCTTCCCCAACGAGCGCGAGGCCACCCAGATCGAGATCCTCGCCGCCGGCGAGAGCGCCACCGGCACCGTCACGATGAAGAACCACCTCTTCACCTTTGACCGCATCTTCCAGCCCTCGGCGACCCAGGCCGATGTGTTTGAGGAGATCGCTCACCTCACGCAGAGCGTCCTCGACGGGTACAATGTGAGTAGGCCGCTGGCAGGATGCCTTGTCGATCTTCCGCGCCGCGACCGACGACATGATGCTGACGGCGAGTTCTCATGTCGTGCTCCCCGCCCTGCCCCTGTCCCACGCTCGGCCCTGCGTGCCACCCTGGCCTTCCATCCCTCCCTTCGCGCCCGCAGACGTCGATCTTTGCCTACGGCCAGACGGGTTCCGGCAAGACGCACACGCTCGAGGGCGCACCGACGTCGATCACCAGCGCCGACCCGTCGTCGGACGACGGGGCGGGCCTGATTCCGCGCGCGGTCCAGATGCTGTGGTCGACGGCCGAGTCGCTCAAGGACAAGGGCTGGAAGTACGACTTTGAGGGCCAGATGCTCGAAATCTACCTCGACAACATCAACGACCTCCTGGGCAAGGCCGAGGTCGACAAGGGAAAGCACGAGATCAAGCACGACAAGGGCCGCACGACGGTGAGCGACACAGTCGTCGTGCCGCTCGAGACGCCCGCCGAGGTGTTCAAGCTGCTCGAAAAGGCGAAGCGGCGCAGGCAGGTGGCGGCGACGCTCATGAACGAGCGCAGCTCGCGCAGCCACAGCGTCTTTATGCTGCGCGTGCGCGGCACCAATGCGACGACGATGGAGGCGTGCGATGCCGTGCTGAGCCTCGTCGACCTTGCGTGAGTCGCCGGAGCCGATGCGCTCGACTGACGAGGCGAGCTTTGCTGACACCTCGTCTGGTTCCTCTCCCGCTCACGACTCTCTCTTGCTCTACCTCTCTCCCCTCCCCCTCTCCGTGTCATCCTGCTGCGACGCCCGATGCAGCGGCTCCGAACGGCTGGCCAACTCGGGGTCCGGCGCGGATCCGGTGCGGCTCAAGGAGGCGCAGAGCATCAACAAGTCGCTCAGCAGCCTGTCGGACGTCATCTCTGCCCTCGGACAGAACAAGGGCGCCAACCACGTGCCGTACCGCAACTCTACGCTCACCTGGCTGCTCAAAAACAGCCTCGGCGGCAATTCAAAGACGTGAGTGGTGGTGTGGAGAGCCGAGCAGCGGGCCGTCGGGGACGAGCGAACGCGAGAGTGCGCGACGTGCGCTGACATCCGTATCTCTCTGTGCCTGGATCGACGCGGCGGCGACAGGCTGATGCTGCTCGCCCTCTCGCCGATGGCGGCGCACCTCAACGAGTCGCTCTGCTCGCTCCGCTTCGCCACCAAGGTCAATTCGACGACCATCGGAACGGCCAAGGCGGTCAAGACCATCACGGCGTGAGGCAACTCGGGCGATGCGCATCGGGCCGCTCTCCTTTCTCCCACGCTCCTTGTCCGTCCGGAATCAGCACCTCTCCCTGCTTTGCCTTCGCTTCCACGCCACCTCACTCTACACGATGGCTCCGCCCCTCGGCTTCCCCCTCCTTTCCCTTGTGTCCCTCTTTTGTGCTACCATCTTCTCTCTCTCTCTCTCTCTCTCTCTCTCTCTCTCTCTCTCTGTCTCGCACTTTGATCCACGGCGACGATACCTTGACACCCATGGCGACCTCGAGGCCAACCAGCTGACACGGCGAGATAATGTTGGGGTCGATGCATTGGTGGGCAGCACGGAGCGAGGCGGCGTGGATACGGTTGCGCCGCTCTCCCACCGACGATGGCGTCTCGCTCGACTCTCTGCCTCTACCCAAACACTCTGAGTCCACCGAGCTGGACGTTGTCCTCGTCCCTCTGGCCGATGCTCTGCCCACCCGCCTCCTCGGCCCGCACCAACCCATCCAGATCCTCCCCTCCCTCGGCATCGGCATCCGTACCCGCAGAAGCAGAGGCGAGCTGGCTAAACAGCCGCCCGATCTGCTCCTCGCTCCACCGAAGGCGGTTGGGGATCGGAGGCATAAAGGCGACAATCTTTTCGTGCACGTCGTACCGCAGCCTCCGCCCCTTTGACGCCTTGGTATCGACGCCCCCGCCGCCGCGCTTGCTCTTTTTGGCGCTGACGGCGTAGAGCTCGTTTGCGAGCGCCGTCGAGTTGTTCGACGACGATGCCGTCGAGCGCCGCTCGATGAGCTCGCGCAGCAGGAACGAGTAGAAGTCGGTGTCGTCAAACACCTCGGCATCGACGTCGCGCGACGACGTCGCTGCATTGGCCCCCGCTGCCGCCGACGAGGACGAGGACGGCGCGTCGGCAGGGGCCAGGATGGCGCCAATCTTGATCTTGGCGGCGTCGTCGCCCGAGCGCAGCACGCGCGTGCGCTCGAGGAGCCGGTCGAAGCCGTCGCCCGACATGGTCGCGTCAATCTGGGCCACGGGCGAGCGGTTGACGGCCTTGAGCGCAAACTTGTTCGACGCCGCCGACGATGCCGCGGCAGAAGAGACCTTGTGCGACCACTTTTCCAGGATCGGCCGCCGGCTGGCGTCGAGCGCCTCTTCGAGCCCGACGAGGTCCAGGATGGACGCGGCGAGCACGTCACCGTCGTCGCCCGAGGATCCGAGCGACGCGATCCGCGCAGCCACGTCGTCGTCGTGGCTGTCGCCGTCGGTCGAGGAGACGGTGAACGGCCTCTTGCGCTTGCGCGAGTTGGCATCGAGCTTCTTGGCCCCTCCGGACGCAGCAGCGGCGGGGTCGTTGAGGACGTGCAGCCGGGTGCGGACGTCAAACAGGCGGTCGGACAGGGCGAGGAGGTCCTGGAGCGTGGTGCCGAGCGCAGCCGTCGCCGGCGACGAGGAGCCGGAAGCGAGCCAAGCTGCGAGCGCCGTGGGATCCGGCAGCTGGTTGAGGTGGCGCAGCGCCGACTGGGCCTTGATGCGCGCCTCGAGCGAGCGCTCCCACAGCTTGATCTGCTTGCGCACGTTGCGACCCTTTTCGGCGTCTTCGAGCCGGCGCGCCTTGAGCTGCTTGGCCAGCTTCTGCGACTGGTTGAGCTGCGCGGCGATCGTGTTGCCGCCCTCATCGTCGTCGTCGTCGTTGTCCTCCTCCTCCTCGGCCTCGGCCTCCTGGAAGCGAAGAGACTTCTTTGGCTTCGAGCTTGGCTTGGCGGCTGGGGCGCTAGAGGACGAGGTGCCGCGCACGAGATCGGCAAAGTCGTCCAGGTCCGAGGCGTCGTCGTCTTCCTCTTCGCCGTCGTCTTGATCCTCCTCGGCGTCGTCCTGGCCATCCTCCTCTGCTTCCTCCTCATCCTCGTCCTCATCCTCATCCTCGTCCTCATCGTCCTCTGCATCTTCATCAGATGCCATCTCCTCGTCCCCATCCTCTGCCTCGTCATCCTCCTCTTCTGCGTCATCCGCGTCGCCGTCATCGCCCTCATCCTGGCCGTAGAGCTGTGCGCGGGTGGCCTTGACGCCCTGGTACTTTGGGTCCCTCAGCTTGTCGTGTTCGGAGAGGGCCGACTTTCTGCGCAGCTTGCTCTCCTCGACGTCGACGTAGTGCGCCCTCGGGTTGTGCAGATTGTCGTCGTCGTCGCCGTCGTCGTCGTCGTCGTCGGAAGCTGCACCGGCGGAGCGGTCATCGCCGCCATCGTCGGCGGCGCGCTGGTGGGCCTCGCTGAGGTCGTAGCCGGCTTCCGGGTCGTAGTCGGTGGGAGCGGCCGAGTTGAGCTCGCCGAGCAGGGCTGCGAGCGACGAGGATGGTTTCGCTTTGGGCGGCATCGTTGCTGCTCTCTTTGTACGTGCTGCAGCGCAGTAACGAGGGCGAGAGTTTGGTCGAGGGGCGCCTGATGGGCTAGAGAGATGGCGGCGGGGTGGGAGGAGCGAAGGCCGGGCGAGAAGAAAGCAAGCCAGGCCCAAACCCAGCCCGCGCCGGACTCAGGACTGGCCGCCTGCCAAATCCAAAAAAATTGGAGCCGCGCCGCCGCCTGTCAAGATCTCGGGTTGCGGGCATCGCTCGGTTCCGCGGCGCCTGGCTCGCAGGACACGCCAGGCCCAGGCAGGCAGGCAGGCAGGCCAGCGGCAGCGCGTGCAGACAACCCAACTCTCACCTGCTTTCTGGAGCGCAGTTGGTGACACCCTGACCCAGCCGCCGTCGTCCTCACTCACTCCCAAACACCACCACCACCACCGCCTCTGTCTCGTTTCCCTCCGGACCTTCACGCTCAGACAATCAACTGGACAACAGAGTCGCCGCTCTCTCCACCTGGCTTTCCCCCCCCGGCGACCGCCACTTGAGCACACATCATGTCCTTTGGAGGTTCCGGCTTCTCGTTTGGCTCCACGCCGGCCGCGGGCGGCAACAACAGCAGCGCACCCAAACCCTTCTCCTTTGGCGCCACCACCAACAACACACAATGTGAGTAAGAACGCTGGATCGTCGCTCACTGGCGGCTCGTATGCGCCCCCCTGACGCCCTTCCTGCTCTTGCATCGCACGCCCTCCCCATCCTGTATGCTAGCCTCGTCCACCCCGGCATCGGGCGGACTCTTTGGATCCACTTCCAACACAGGCGCGACCGGCGGCGGCAGTCTCTTTGGAGGCACCAGTGCGCCCTCCACCGGCGGCTTCTCGTTCGGCGCTGCCAAGCCTGCCACCCCTTCCGGCACCACGACTCCCGGTGCTGCGCCCACCGGCGGCTTCTCGTTCGGCGGCGCTTCGACGGGAGGCGGAGGCTTCAAGCTCGGCGGTAGTGCATCCACGCCCGCAGCATCTGCGGCTCCCTCTGGCACCACTACCCCCGCAGGACAGCCTCCTGCCAACTTGTTCGGCGGCGGTGCCAACAAGCCCGCCGCTGCCCCTGCTCCTGCCGCTGGCGGTTTCGGTGGAGGCGGCCTGTTTGGCCAGAACAAGCCTGCATCCCCGGCACCTGGCGCCACAGGTACCACTGGTGGATTCAGCTTTGGCGGCAGTGCAACGCCGGCCGCAAGCAGCGCTGCGACTCCCGCTGCGGGCACGACGACCGCGGCCCCTGCCTCGACCGGTGGATTCTCCTTCGGCGGCTTTGGCGGTGCCGCCACCGGCGCTGGAGACAAGAAGCCAGCAGCAACGGGCGGCTTCTCCGGCTTCACGCTTGGGGCGGCAGCAACACGGCGGCGGGCACAGACGCATCCAAGCCAGCCGCGGCTCCGAGCACTGGGGCCGGCGGCTTCAGCTTCGGCGGTGCCACGAGCACCGCCAACAAGGATGCTACTGCCTCTACCGCATCACCGGCACCCGCCGCCAACCCGTTCGCGCCAAAGCCTGCCGCATCGAGCGCACTTGCGACCACCTCTGCCGCTTCGGCGACGACGACGGCCGCACCTGCGCCCGCGACAGGCGGCTTCTCGTTTGGCAAGCCCGCAACGTCGACGGCGGCGACCACATCCACCCCGGCGGGGGCTCCCGCCGCTGCTGCTCCCGCTGCTGGCGCCAAGCCGGCTGGCGCTTCGTTCAGCTTTGGTGCCAAGCCTGCCGAGTCGGCGGCGACGACGACGACGACGACGACCACCACCACCACCACCGCCTCAGCACCCGCGGCATCGACGGCAACTTCCGCCTCAAGCGCCGCGCCCGCTACCGGAGCAGCCTCGACGACGACGCCTGGGACTGTCAGCTTCGGTGCACCCAAGACGACCGCTGCTCCTGCAACTACTGCCCCTGCGGCGGCGGCCGCGCGTCCGGCGCCCGTTCCGGCGCCCTCGCTGCTGAGGGGCAAGAGCATGGACGAGATTGTCAACAAGTGGAGCGCCGAGCTCGATTCGGCGGTCAAGGAGTTTTCCAAGCAGGCGGGCGAGGTGGCCGCCTGGGACCGCGTGCTGTTGCAGGGTGGTGACGAGGTGAGTGCCAGGCTGCCTCTGCTTTCTGTGTTCTCGCCGGCAGTCGCGCTGACCGTTGGCTCGACCTCGATCCCTCTGCCGCACTGATGTCCACTCCAGATTTCGAAGCTGCTGAGCACGCTGACGCAGGCCGAGGAGAGGCAGGTGGGCATCGAGCAGACGCTCGACTATGTCGAGCAGCAGCAGACCGAGTTCTCCTCGCTGCTGGACGGCTACGAGTCGCAGATTGGCGATCTGCTGTCGGGCGTGCAGGGCGGCGGCCCCTCGACCTATGGCGGCGCGCTGCGAGGCAACGCCGCCGAGGCTGGTGCGGCCGATGTCGAGCGCGAGAAGGCGTACGCGCTGGCCGAGACGCTCAATGCGCAGCTCGACGACATCTCGCGCAACCTCTCTTCGATGATTGGCGAGGTCAACTCGCTGTCGTCGCCGCACGCCCCTTCGAGCGCGGCGGCGGCGTCCAACGTCGAGGACGCCAACCTCGGCGCGCTCAAGGTCGGCGGACGCTCGAGCGGCGCGGGCGCCAGCGACGACCCCGTGAGCCAGATTGCCAGCATCCTCAACGCGCACCTCGCCAGCCTCAAGTGGATCGACGAGAGCAGCTCTAACCTGCGCGACAAGATCGAGGGCCTGAGGCGCGGCCAGATTGCCTGATTAGCCGGCGGCCGCGTGCCCCATTCCGTGGCGTGGCCCGTTGTGTCCCCTTTGCGCGCGAATCCGAGCATTCTCTTCCTCAGAATCAGATCGACAGCTCCGTGTGTGCGATCTGATCTGGACGCTGACCCATGTGAGAAGGCGCTCTGCTGCGTGAAGTCCGCCGCCGCGGTCGAATGCCCGCCCATGCAAGGGCCGAGTGCTGAGCGTGGGGGGGCCGCGAGTGGTCCGTGACTGCTTTGCCTTCTTCCTCCACGCTTCGATTCCTGCCCGCTTGCCCTGCTACCACCACCACCACCACCACCGCTACCTCTTCGCCATGTCAACCTCACTGCCGTTGCCGCCGACGATCCCAACCATCTCTCTGCGCGATCCGCGGTTGGGCGACGCCATCCTCGACGCTTGCACCTCGAGCGGCTTCTTCTACCTCTGCGACCACGGCATCGCGCAGCACGAGACCGACCGCCTCTTTGCCCTCTCGAGAGACTTTTCCGCCCTCGAAGAGGCTACCAAGCGCCGCTTCATGGATCGAGCATCGAACACGGTGAGCTGGTCGCCTGATGGCCGTCGAGCTGCGCAGCAAGCCCTCCTCTGGTCGCTGACCGTGTCGACATCGGTCTGGTCTGCTCCGCCCCCGGTTCTCCTGTGCAGGGCTTTACCCCGATGTGAGGACCTGGCGGCCGGCCACAGGCGTATCGTGATCAGGGAGCTGACTCTTTTCGACATCCCAACCATACTGGTGCTGCTGCAGAAAGCACGAGAGGTGAGTGCAGGGCGGGGATGGTCCACGTCTGCGTAAGGAGCCAGCCTGACCCACCTCTCGCCCGCTATCAACCGCAGCCTAGACCCCTCGAAAGCATCAGACGGCGACCTCAAGGAGTCCTTCTACCTCGCACGCCTGGCCACGACAGCGTCCGGTTCCACACCCGAGAGCGTCGAGCACCGGCCCCCGACACAGCTCCTGCCGGCCGGCCTCGGTTCCTCCAAGGACGACGTCGCCCGGTTCATCGAGCAGTGCAAGGCGGTCACCGACGAGGTGCTGCGCGGTTTCGCCAACGCTCTCCATCTAGACGATCCTGCCTTCTTCAAAGGCAACCACCACGGCGCCCACGATAGGCTGAGGCTGATCCACTACCCTCCTTCGAGTCCGAGCAGCGACCAAGGTGCCAGCATCCGCGCCGGCGCCCACAGCGACTACGGCTCGGTGACGCTCCTGTTTCAGAAGGACGTTGGGGGCCTCCAGGTCGAGCTCGAGGGCTCAGGCTGGATCGACATCCCGCCCAAGCAGGGCTGCATCGTGGTCAACGTCGGAGATGCCATGGAGTGAGTCGGCGCCCTTCTCGGCCCGTCCCTGCCCTCCGCTGTCCGACCTGCCTTCCGCCGTCCGACCTGCCCTGACGAGACCAGATCTTGACCTGCTCGCCCTTCCCATTGCCCAGGTTCTGGACCGCTGGCCTCTTCCGCTCTACGCAGCATCGAGTTGTGATGCCCCGCAACGATTCTGAAGCCTCATCTCGCTACTCGATGTGGGTGCTAGCCGTCGATCCGGTATCAGGCGCGATGGGCGTCTCCTGACGGCTTCTCTCTTGCCTTTCCCTCGTTTCTCCGCCACACGCAGGGCCTACTTTTGCCAGCCGGACGAGAACTGCGTCCTCCAGCCGCTGCCGCTCTCTTCGCAGGTGCTCGAGGCGATCGGGAACAGGCGCACCGCGATGGACCCGGCCGAGTTCGAATCGAGGCTGCGGCGGAAGGGCGTCGATGTCGATTCGGCCCGGGCCGCCTATCGCGGAGATGCTCCCTTTGGCCACCTCGGGCAGATCAAGCTGACCGGTGGCCAGCACCTGCGAGCGCGGCTGGCGGCCACCTACAAGGCCTAATCGCGCCGCGTCGTTGCCCGCGATCACCTGCGTCCGCCGCCCCACAGCGCACCGACGGCAAGACACAGAGGAGGGCGGCTCGAGCGTGCTGCGCCGACAACGACGATGGCAAAGAATACCGCGATCATCGCATTGTCGAGATCATCGTGTTGTCCGCGACGGCCATCCCGCCCCACAGACGCCAAGGTGACCGCTAGCTCGAACTTGCGGCTGCCGCATACATGTGGGTGCGCGTCCAAGTGGGCGAGATACATTGCGATGACGAGGTGGGGGGACGGCAACGCGACCGGGACCACCCGCTGCACCGCAAGCTCGCCGCGATCGCTATCCTGGCGAAGCAGCTGTTCCCAGCCAGGCCAACCTGTAGCATGACACGCTCGCCGCGGCTATAAAGGACGGCATCGAGCAGCCATCTTCCGCCCAGAGTCGCATCCAACATCCGACATCCTCTCCAAGGGCATCCCTCTCCGTTCACCACCCCGAAGCAAACCGGCCGACGCAACGCCGCCAGATCGCTCCCCTGCCAGCCTTTTCGAGACCCACACCGCCGGCATGAAGCTCTCCGCTCCTCTCGCTTTCCTTTCGCTGGCCATGGCCGGCCTGGTCCGCGGTCAGAGCTGCAGCATGGGCTCGCTCGGAACCCTCAGCGTCAGCGTCAACAAGTCTGGCCTGGTGCAGGTCTGCCTGAGCAACGCGCCGGGGTGGCAGATCCATACCAAGCAGGGCGAGTGGATGAACCTCAAGGACGGCACGCCGCCCACCCTGGTGGACCAGAACAGCTGCTCCACCTGCTTCACCCAGGTGGGCGGTTCGGGCAACACGGCGATGTGCTACGTCGAGTTCGACGTCACCCTAAACCACCACCTCACGACCGCTCAGGTGGCCGGTGCCCTCAACCGCTTCGCCAACAACTACAACATCGTTGGTGAGTCTGCGTCGATCCCCGTCCTGCCCCAAAGATGGAACGCCGTACGTGCGTGCTCGTCGCTGACCCCTAGATGCCGCCGCTCGTCGTGACCCGTCCCCTTGCGCTTTCGACGCTGATAGGAACCCCCGGGACGACCGGCCAGAGCGTGACCCAGCCGCTGTGCAGGCTGGGCTAGGGGCGAGCTGCCACCTTGCTCGCGCGCGGCCACCGCGGCGGTTCCAGCACATCGTCGCGCCCTCCGCCGGCCCTCTCGCACTTCTTCGTCCCCTATTCCCACACCGCTCTCTAGGCCACACTATCCACAGTCGGCGCAGACCGTCTCTTTGGTGACGCGAGCCGCTGCTGCGATTTGCGGCCCCCGATACTCTCTCCCCCCTCGTCCTCATTGTCGATGTTGTCTCTCTCTGCTCTGGCGAGGGGCATTTCCAGCGCGCCAGTGTACCGCGATACACTGGGCTGGTCCGGATCCTGGAGGTGCGCAGCGCACGAGGCATCCTCTTAATGACAAGCGACGTCTCGCCCCTCATCTCGATCCCCTCGACGCGGCACTTTGGCCCTGGAACCATCTCTGGGGCACGCTACTGCTGAAATCCACGCTCTTGAGCGCGGCCAAGCGGCGAACTCGACGCGCCGGGACGAGGGGACGCCAACCGATGGCGGCCCACCGCCGTGTCCTCGTCCTGACCGCAGGCTCGCTGAGCGCCGCACAGCCATCGACACTTGGCACGCTTTGACGGGGTCGGAACGAGGGGGCAAGCGCTGCTTGACCAGGCGTGCAGCGGTTCCGACGGCGGGACATGTCGGCCACCCGGGCTGGCGACTTGCATTTGACAGACGAGGACCTGTTGGAAGCAGCCGCCTCGTCGAGCTCGTTCCTGGCAAGCTGCCTGGCAAGCTGCCTGGCCGGCCACGCCGCTCGCCCGCCGGGGCCTTGTCTTCAACAGCCTGGCTGGAAGAAGCAAGCTCAAGAAGGGCACGCGAAAAGTGGAGGCCGCGTGGGCGTTTTGCGTGGGCCGCCGCCGCTTCGACGCTCGCTCCCCTCTTTTCCTCTGTCTCGCCCTGGCCCCCCGCTGGCTATCCCCCTCCTCCTTTCGCTCGCGCTCTCCCTCTCTCTGCTCCTCATCACAACACGCCACTCGTCCCCCCGTACCCCTCCCTTCCATAGACACCCTTTCCAATCGCTGCACCTCGACACGGCCGCCTCCGCGATGACGCAGGACGAACAGACGTGGCCCGTGCGGCTCTACGTCTACGACCTCTCGCAAGGAATGGCGCGCCAGCTCTCCATGGCCCTCACAGGGCGTCAGATCGACGGCATCTGGCACACGAGCATCGTCGCATGGGACCGCGAGTACTTTTTCGGACAGGGCATCTCGATCGCATCGCCCGGCACATCCCACCACGGCGCTCCGCTCGAGACCTACGAGCTCGGCCATACGGCCATCGACCGCGACACGTTCGAGCAACTCCTCCTCGACGACCTAAGACCCAGGTTCAGACCGCAGGACTACAACCTCCTCAGCTGGAACTGCAACAACTTTACCCAGGAGCTCGCACAGCTCCTCGTCGGCGCCGACATCCCCGACCACATCCGCAGCCTCCCCGCCGACTTCCTCTCGACGCCCTTTGGGCAGATGATGAAGCCCAGGATCGACGCCATGTTCCGCGGGCCCAGCGTCGGCGCCACGCCCAATGTCGCCGCCTCCTCCTCGCCGGGCGCTGGTCTGCTGGATCAGGTGGCGTCGCGCGCCTTTACCGGCAACGAGCCCATGCAGTCGTCTGGCAGAGGTGCCGGCACGGCGGGCCCCTCGTCTTCAGACCCAGTCCGCCACATCTATACAAAGGCTGACCTCGACGCCCTCCTCGAGACCTTCCCGTGCGTCGCCGTGCTCTTCACCTCCGACACTTGTCCACCCTGCCGCATCGTCAAGCCCGAGTTCAGCAGCCTCGCTCACCGCCACCACGCCGACCAGGACAAGCCCGGCCCGCACAAGCGCATCGGCTTTGCCCAGGTCGACGCCGGCCCCGCGACCCAGGCGCTGATGCAGGCCTGCGGCATCTCGGCCACGCCCACCGTCTCGTGCTACGCTCGCGGCACGCTCAGCGGCCAGGTCAAGGGCGCCGACGTCGGCGAGCTGCGGTCCGCTGTCGACCTGATGCTCTTCGATGTCTACCCCTTCCACCCTCACACGCAGCTCAAGCGTCCGCTCAAGGCGTTCCGTTCCATACCGACGGCGCCGCACGCGTTCCGCGCGGTGCCCAACCTGCAGTCGGCGCTCCAGAGGCTCGACGCGGCGCTCGCCGAGCATCCGGCCAAGTCGTTTGCCGAAAAGGCCGACCTCCAGGACGCTCGCAAGTGCCTCGCCGCCACCGTCATCCCGTTCCTCGAGGCAAACTTCGACGCGCAGTCAAAGTCGGCCAAGGCGACCCCCAGGTTCGAGGCATCGAAGCAGCTTCGGGCGCTCGAGCAGGCGACGGCGGCGATGCTCAAGGTGCTCGCCCCGGAGCAGCTCTTCCCGCTCGTCGACATGATCCGCCTCGCCCTGCTGATCGACGACTTCGCTGCGGGCCTGCTGGCCGCACTGCACGACAGCGGCCAGGCGAGCCAAGGCGGCCCTCTGCTTGCGGTGCTGACCCGGGTCCAGCAGCTGGCGGCGGACGGATGCTGGGATGCGCGGCGGCGGCCCGTCTACCTCACGACGGCGCGCCTGCTGGGCAACCTGACGGCGAGCGACCGCTTCATGGATGCCGTCGAGTACCACGAGCCGCTAAAGCAGACGGTGCTGGACCTGATCACGTCGCTGCTGCTCTGCGAGGATGCGGGCGTGCGCAGCTCGGCGGCGACGTCGAGCTTCAACATTGCGCTGCACGAGCACAAGCTGCGGCCCGACTGGACCAGCCGCGACGCGTCGGCCCCGCCGGGCCTCGGATCGAGGATGGGCGAGGGCTGGGAGACGGAGATGGCGTCGGCGCTGGTGCAGGCCATCAGCAACGAGGCCGAGTCGGACGAGACGCTGCATCGCCTCTGCGCCTCGCTGCTGCTGACGCTCCACCTCTCGCCGTTCTGGCAAGAACACCTGCTGCCGCTCCTCGAAGTGCTCGAGGCCCGCGACGCGTTCACGGCCAAGCTCGACTCGAGCGTCGTGAAAGGATCAACGAAGAGCGAGGAGCTGGCGGGACTGCTGCGCGATCTGCAGGCGCTCTCCGGCTCGTCCTGAGGCGGCCACCGCCGCCGCCGTTCGAGGCTGAAAGCGGAGCATTGAGCGCAACCCCGCAATCGACCGTGCCACGAGGTGACGAGTCAACACCGCCGCCATCGATATCGCGGAGCCATGCTGGTGGGTGGGTACGGCGGCATTCGCACGTGGAGCTCGTGCGATCCAAGGACACGCGAGCGTGCTACCGTACCACGGCCGCCTCTCTCGCCAGCGACCAAATTCGGACGACGAGCGATGCGCGCTGCCTTATCAGCTGTACGTTGATTATGCCGTACGTCGTCGTTCCGAGGCCGCCCGGCGTCTCGGTCGATCTCTGCGCTGGCGAGATGGTGGTGGGGTCGACGAGTTGCCTGCTGCTCGGCCGCTGCGTTTTCTTTTTCATGCGAGATAAGCGGAGCGGAGCGCAGGCGATAAGAAAATCGCGCGGCGGACGCACAAGCGAGCAGGCAAAAAACGGCAGGTGATAAGCCAGCAGGCCGCCGGCGACGGCTTCAGCGCCAAACGAGCTGCCACCGACTAAACGGTCCTCGGCGACAGCGGCAAAGAGCATCACCGTGCAAGGCAGCCCTTGATACCACATTATCGCTCGCAAAGTCGGCCGTCGGCTCTGGCCCGCCTCCTTCTCCCCGCCTCTTCCGGCTGCATCCTCAGCATGTCCAGACGCGAGAAGAGGTGGGCGGGGAAATGCGGGGCGCTCGCGCTCGCGCCCTGCCTACCGGCGCCCTCCGGCTCGGATGGCGAGGACGAGACCCGCCTTATCGCTGCCCAGGCCACCTCTGAAGTCGATGCGATGCGATGCGATGCGACGCCTATAAAGGACGACGGCGGATCCACGGTATCCTCGTCCTAGCCCCAACGCCGCCCCCGCTTCCGAGCTGCATCCTCCCTCTCTGCTCCTTCTGGCCTCGACGCTCTACAACCACCGACCGCGACAACGTCCTCGTGCCAACCATGTCGGCAGCGACCACCCAAGTCCTTCCTGCGGGCGCTGGCTGGGCCGTCGTGTGCGGCCTGGGTTTCCTCTTTGCGCTCTTCATCATCGGCCTGTCGTTCATCCAGCAGCGCTACACGTCGCTCTCGATCAAGGACACGGACGAGTTTGCCTCGGCATCGCGCTCGGTCAAGCCTGGCCTGGTCGCCTCGGGCATCGTGTCGGCGTGGACGTGGTCGTCGACGCTGCTCCAGTCGTCGGCCATGGCCTACAAGGTCGGCGTGTCGGGTGGCTACTACTACGGCGCCGGTGCCACGATCCAGATCCTCCTCTGCTCGATCATGGCCTGCCGCATCAAGCTCAACGCTCCGTTCGCCAGCACGTTTCTCGAGGTGCTGCGGGTGAGATGGGGCAAGGCGACGCATCTCACCTTCCTCGCCTTTGCGCTGGTGACCAACCTGCTCGTCTCGAGCCAGCTCGTCGTCGGCGGCTCGGCCGTCGCCAGCACCTTGACGGGCATCCCCACGCTCGCCGCCATCTGGCTGATCCCGCTCAGCGTCGCCTGCTACGTCCTCGTCGGCGGCATGCGGGCCACGCTCCTCGCCGACTACACCCACACCGTCGGCCTGCTCGTCATCATCCTCTTCTTTTTCTTCAAGGTGTGGATCGCCAGCGACCAGATCGACGGCTTCGGCGGCATGGTGGCCAGGCTCACGGCGAGCGCCAGCATCGACGGCAACGCCGCCGGCTCGCCCCTCACGTTCCGCAGCACCGACGGCCTCGTCTTTGCCGTCATCAACATCTGCGGCAACCTTGGCACCGTCTTCGCCGACCAGTCCTACCACCAGCGCTCCATTGCCAGCAACCCGAGCACGGCGGCGCGGGCGTTTCTGCTGGGCGGCTCGGCCTGGTTCGCCATCCCATTCCTCTTTTCCATGACCATGGGGCTGGCCGCCCGTAGCCTGATGGGCAACGATCCGGCCATGCCGCTGCTCAGCTCCGCCGACGTCTCGGCCGGCCTCGCCGCGCCCGCCGCCGCCGTCGCCATCGCGGGCAAGGGAGGCGCGGTGGCCATGCTCATCCTCCTCTTCCTCGCCGTCACGTCGGCGTCGAGCGCGCAGCAGGTCGCCGTCGCGTCGGTCCTCACCTTTGACGTCTACAAGCCCTGACCTCCGCCCGCACGCGTCGGGCCGCGAGGTCTTCTTTGTCACGCACGCCGCCGTCGTGCTGTGGGCCGTCGTGATGGGCGTGTTCGGCACCGTCTTCTTCTACGCCGACATCAGCCTCGGCTGGCTCTACCTCTGCATGGGTATCCTCATCTCGCCGGCGGTGGTGCCCATCTTTTGCGGGCTGACGTGGAGGCGGACCAGTCGCGCCGCGTGCATGGTCGGAATGGTGGGCGGCGTCTCGCTCGGCGTCGTGGCGTGGCTGGCGACGGCGCGGGCCCTCTACGGCCCGCTCAGCGTCACGACGACCGGCATGGACTACCCGACGCTGGCGGGCAACCTGGTCTCGCTCTGCACCTCGGGCATCGTCACCGTCGTCGGAACGCTCCTCTGGCCCGAGACCGAGGACCACTTTGTCCGCACCCGCGCCATCAACGCGCCCGCCGACGTCCTGGACCGGCTCAAGGCCCACGCGTCCCTGCCCGGATCGACGCTGGCGCCGTCGTCATCGGCGGCATCGACGTCGAGCATGGAGAAGGCGGACCTCGAGCAACCCGGCTCGCCCGGCGGCAAGGCCACGCACGCCACAACGACGCTCGGAGACGACGGCGTCGACTACGTCAAGGCGGCAGGTCTAGACGCCGCCGAGCTCAAGAGGACGCTGCGCCTGACGACGTGGGTCAGCGTCGCCGCGTCGGTGCTGCTGTGCGTCGTCATCCCGGCGTGCCTGGCGAGCCGGCGGGTGTGGAACGTGACGGGCCTCCAGGCCTACATCTGGCTCGGCTTTGTCTGGCTCTGCTGGACCGCCGTCGCCGTCGGACTCTTGCCCGTCTGGGAGTCGAGGCACGAGCTCGCCGCCATCCTCCGCGGCATCGCCGGCGACCTCACCGGCCGGCGGCGCAAGGCGTGATGCTGTGGTCGGGGGATAGACGACTCGATGCTACGGGCGCCACGAATGTATAAGTGCAATGCGAAACGAAACGAAACGACTCGAGACGAAACGGAATGACACGAAACGAAGCGATACGTCTGGTCCTCGGCCTGTGCCGCGCCTGGCAGCATGGGCGGAATGCGACCAAGCGCGAGTAAGGGAGCATACGGGTCCGTCTGGCCGACGCCGAGCGACAAGGCCGTCGTTCCGCTGGAGAGAGGCGCACAACGGACGTGGCAGCACACGCCTCTCTTCTCCTCTCGCGCGCCAACTTCTTCGCAAGCACGTCGGGACCTCGTGCGTCCCCATGTCCATAGTGACCCCGAGAGGGGTTCCCCGCCGACCGGTCGTCGACATGCTTGTTCAGAGGCAGAGAGAAGGGTCGGGTCGGGCCAGGCGTCAAACGGGCGCGGCATCGATCCGGTCGGATCGGGCCGATCCGAACCTGACTTGGCTTGGATTGGCTTGGATTGGCTCGGTTGGGCCTGGCGTGGCTGGCCAGCTAAGTTCACGCACGGGCCTAGAGCTTGCAGCTGCTCCGTCGCCCTGCGTGCGTGCGTGCGGGCGAGCGGGCGTGCGTGGGTCCGAGCGCAGTAGGCGGGCAGGCCAGAGGGCGCTCTCTGCCGCCCCGCGCCGGCTGGGCCAGCTTGCCTGGTCTGGCGGGGTCGGGGCACTGGAGCAGTGTCGCCGCCCCACGCTCCGCCGAGCACGGCGGGGTGGCCTAGGGTATAAAGAGCGAGCGAGGCATGAGCGGGCGTCTGTCCCTCTCCCATCCACCGCCCTCACGCCGCCACGCCGCCACGCCGTCGCTCCCCCTCCTCCTCGCCTGTCCGCCGCCTCCCCTGTCCCATGTTTCTCTGCCCCAACCCTCCCCTTTGGTCGACCTCACGTACCTACCAGCCGCTCTCCATGCCGCTGTTCCTGTCCTTGTCCACGCTCGCTGCTTCTCTCTCTCTCTCTCCTCGTAGACTGCATACGCCTTCCTTTCCTCCGTCCCTCAGTTCGCCGCCCCCACCTCGTTCAGCCCGAGGCGCCATCGACGCCGGGCGCGCATGCAGAAACGGTGAGTCGGGCCGGCCTCGTCTACCCTCATTTTGCCACTCGGCCGAGGCATACACTCTCTGCCCGTACGCTGGCTCGATGACGCCTACGCCTCGACGCCCACACCATCGTCTGGCTCGGCCTCTGCTCGCAGATGTCGGCGCGACCTCGTGCTTCGTCACCGTCATCCTCGTCGTCGTCGTCGTCGACGACGATATGCTGACACCTCGTTGGAGCATCCACTCTGCATTTGCGATCGGGCGAGCGAGCACTCAGCGCTTGGCTACCTTCCGACGCGGTTCCTTCTGTACCGCCTTGCGGTTTCGGCCTTGCCACTGCCCCGCCTCCAGCAGAGGACAAGGTCAGGGTACATGCGTCGGAGCTCCTCGAGCTGCTCGGCATTGTCGAGACCCGAAGGTAAGTCGTCTCGCGATCTGTCGCAGGCCCTACCCCGCACTCGTATTTCGTTGTTTCTCCGCCTCCATCGTTCCCTCGTCTTGCGTCGATCCATGCTGTGACATTCCTCCTATGGCCCAACGGTCCCCTCACACTGCCGCCCTGCTCCTACCCCTACGCTCCGACTCCCCCACTGGATCGACCATGCCCGCCCTGCCAATGTCGTCTGCACCTCCCTCGCCACTCTCTCATGCACGTTCGAATCCTCCCTCCCTCTTATCCACACTCGTGCTCTTTCCTCTGCCGCTGCACCGCCGCTCTCCCTTTTGCCGCCTTCCTGACCGTCGCCACCCGCTCGATTCCGCTCCATCTATCCTCATTCGCCTCCTCTTCACTTTCCTTGCCCGCCGCCACCCCGCGTCCATGCTCATGCCCGGCCGAGGACCACAAACTGCTGAATCTGCCTTGCTCTCGTCGTCTACGTTCCCTCGCATCATTTTCATCCCACACCGACGCAGCCGACATGCCCCACTGGAGCCGTCGAACAGCACCGTCGCCACGCATCGATTCACACGCGGACCGGCGCCTCTAGCCGACCCCTGCGAAGCCGCCATGATTGCTGGATTGCACAGGTGGTGTTTTCAAGACCGCGGCTCGGGCTTTGCGCTTTGCTGGTGACGCTGACGCCGCCAAACCTCCCGTGCTCCTTTGCCGCCGCTCCCGCACCCGCACAGCGGCGATCCGCGTCCTGGACTCTGCCCTCGTCTTTGAGCGACCATAACGCACGATTGCAGATCAAGGTGAGCGCCATCCCGCGACGAAGAAGGTGACGGGGCGACGTGGCCGCTGACAAGGCGGGGGTCGCCGTCTCTGCCCGAGCTCCGAGCATCAGAACCACGCACGCACGCACGCACACGACACAGATGAAGCGCTCGCTGATAAACGTCCAGATTGGTGAGTTGCGACCGGTGGCAGCACTTCGATCGTTGGTATTGGGCAGCGGCATTGCTGCTTTTTGCGCTTGTCGCGAGGCAGCACCTGTCTATCCGCTCGTTGCGGCGTGGAGAATCGGGCCCTTCGTTACCACCTCAAGGACAGTGGCACGGGCAGGTCTATCAAGCTAGGCCGCGACGGACAAGGTGAGCGAGTGAGCGGACTGCCTGGCAGGGATCGGCCAGCACGACGTTGGCGCAAGGGCCCCTGGCAATGCTCTGCGCCCTCGTTGGGCCGCTCCGGATCCAGCATGGAACCTGACCTCTGTTCCGCCGGGCACGTTGCTGCAGCTCCAGCTGAGGGCAGGCGGCCGCCAGCGTCTGGCCGATCCAGGCCATGCTGTGCCAGCATTGACGCGGGCGGCGCAGAATGGCCTGGCCTGGCCCGGCCCAGTGTCGGAGCCCGGGCGCCCGCTGGATGTTGCTGCTTCGACAAAAGCGGCGATCGGCGGCCACCTCGGTCGTCTCTAGGTCGCAGGCGCGCGGCACCCCCTGTTCGCCCGCGCAGTCTATGGGGCAGGCGGGCGGAG